ATAGGAGTCTTGTGTTTATATGACGAGGGAGCAGTCAGTCAATCAGTCAGTTAGTCAGGCAGGCAGGCAGTCAGTCAGTCAGTCAGGCAGGCAAGCAAGCAGTCAGTCAGGCAGGCAGTCAGGCAGGAAGGCAGGTAGTCAGGCAGTCAGTCAGGCAGGCAGTCAGGCAGTCAGTCAGTCAGTCAGGCAGGCAAGCAAGCAATCAGTCTGGCAGTCAGTCAGTCAGGCAGGCAGGCAGTCAGTCAGTCAGTCAAGCAAGCAGTCAGGGGAAGTTTAGAAATTAAAGTTTAGAGCAGAGAAGTGCAGATTATACCTGATTAAATGATTTTGAAAGATTGTCCACTTTGGGCAGTATTTCGATTTGGTGCACTAGATGCATCATGCGGAGTTAATTGCTGCAGAGTACTAGGAACCACAAGATTAATCCCGGGGTTCACCTCGCGAATCAAATCCAAAACTGCAGCGGTGATGGTAGGTGTAATTTCTTGGACTAATTGTGTTTTTTATGCCTACCAGGAATTCCTCAGGGAGTATGTAATTTGACTTTGTATCTTTGTTCTTCAAATCACTCTTCTTCACACCCGAGCCATATAGATGCAAACGACTTTTGCATTTAGGAGGTGGATCACTTCACTATAAGGGTCATTGCATACATTACCATCTTCTTGTGATTGTGCTGACTCCAAAGCATCAATTTTGTCCTGTTTAGGAAAACATAGTAATATGTTACTAATTATCGAATAACTAACAATATTTAGGCGTACAATGTTACTAATTATCGAATAACTCACAATATTCTCTTTTGCTTTTTCAAAGCTGCTAATGTATGTCCTTTCAGCACTTCTTTTTCTTGATTCCTTGTAAACCTTTGCTTGAGAAGGTTCTTTCTTGTCGGGATCTTGTTGTTGCTTTTTGTTGCTTTGGCTAATTGCCTAGGGAAAATCGGAAACCACCATTTAATTCAAAATTAAACACATATTAGATAAAATTATTCGAGAGAATTAGATTAGAATCAATATACAGTACCTTCGCCTCATCGGTATGCCAATATTGTAGAAGATCTAGGAACATCTGATCGGAGATTGTATTTGGTTTATGTTCCACCTTAAATCATCCGTATCATATGCATAGAAGTGTTTCTTCTTGATTTGGCATTTATAATATTTCCAACAACTATTTACAGCATCCATCACCCAATTTAACCCGACATGGGGGACCATATACTTCTCCTGTTCAAGCTAAAACATTAGTAACGTGTGGAGGTGTACGTGCAATGCAACAATATCATTGTATACTACCTGGACATAATCCAATATCTTATCAAGTGTCGATAGGCTAGGAAAATTTCTGTAGTTAAGCGGTGCAAGTTCGGAATCCCTTGCCACCGTTCCCAGAAAAAACTTCAACTCTTGCACAATCTCCTTAGTAGGTCCAACTGGCTGACCTAATGAGTTCAGAACAATCACAGGACGCTCCTCTCTTGAACGTGCGTGAACTCTGTGGAGCATTGTTCGACCTCGATGTTTTTTTCCTTTTCGAGGACAATTCACCTGCTGTTTCTGTGGTAATAAACACTACATTCGTAAGTTTATCCAGCATTTTAACTGATTTACATATTCTAGTTTTACGCGAGTTTCTGGAAAACTTTAGTAACTTCACTAATATCTAACTCTGGATACCTGAATATTGTATATGAGTATGGCCCTTGAGGTCCTTCATATTACAGAAAATTCGAACTGAAGCTGTACGCTAGAACAGCCTAGATGTATTTGCAACAATGTTTGCATGAGGAGCAATTGATGCAGTTGAGAAAAGTTATGCTAGTGGGCAGAGCTAATTTGGCTATTTGGTTTTAACATACAGTGTTTGCACCTATATAAAATGTTGGTGTCTTCAAAAGCTAGCTGATCATTGTAACCAATTGACCTTGCCAGGGTTGTGAAAACCAAATGTCATTGCTTCAGTTTACCTTGAATATATCTACATGATTTTAATTGTACCTCGAGGTGCCTCAAGTGATGGGACTCTGACTACAGTTTCTGCTATGAATAATATACATTTTATTTTGTGCACTTCCATATTGAGTTTCTGTGTTTGATGATTTCTCCTAAGATCTTAGTGACCTTACCTTAAGACTATTGCAATTTATGTTGATCCCCACAATAAGAGGGAAGGAGTTTGTAAGAAAGAAATGAAAAACAGGATGAGGGGTCTATATCAATTGTATTGCGGCATATTTATATTATTAATTATACCTAATATTATACTATTAATTATATCTATAATTATATTTTACTAAAATTATAACAATTTGACAGGTCAACCTAAGGCAATCATAATTAATGATCAGAATATACCTTCCATTCCAAACTGTGCCATAAATGCTCGTTCCGCTGCTTCATTGCCCTCATCATTGCCCTCACAATCGAACTGAAGAGCACAATCGGTCTCATTCAGCTGCTCAGCATCATAATTTTGCCCTTTTTCATGCACCTCACTGCTCATCATCAGCGCTTCATCCTTTTGTCGTTTTCGAAACTCGAGGTAGGCTGACATTGAGCCAGGAGAACAGAACGCTCTTTTCTTCACAGATGCCTTTGTTGACCCCAATTGCTGTTCTTGCTGCTTCCTTTGAATTTCCCGTGTAGGAACTGGATGTTGTTGAGAAGAGACCTATAAAACAAAAGCGAAACAAGTTACTTGTTATCAAACTAAAGCAAATTGAAAGGCTAGACAGGAGTCTCACAAATAAATTTATAGCTGTAAGCTCTTGAGTCCTTAGTGATAGACCTATGAAATACAAGCATAAAAAAATACTATCAGTAATTAAAAAGGGTCATATACTTGCTGCAACCATTGACATGTACTATATGTATTTATGCTCCAAAAATAGCTACTCCATCCAGAACTAATAGTCACAATTCATGGAGTGTTCAGTAGAAAGATCTCACGTTTCCTTAAAAACAAATAGACTGATATTGGTTTTCCAAACATACCCCATTTTGTTGGGTGGTGAAGAGAGTATAGCCGTATGGAATCAATTTAACACTCAATTTTGGACGGAGTGAGTACAGTTTTTTTAATGTCCTGTAACGCTCGCAAAATTTACTTTAAAGGACAGCAATGTCATCTGCAGTTACAAGATCAAATGAATGGAGTACTTATATTAGTTGGGTTAGTCAGGTATCTATGTCGATAGATCTGGTTTCTTACAAAACTCACACAGATACAGTGATAATAGAGAGCTCTAAGGTGGCAATTATCATGAGTTCATGACAGACAGATAAATTCTACACTAAACCATTTATCTATTTAGATTTGAGTAGTAATACTATTCACTTGTAAAACTAGTGCATTAGTATTTTTGCTGATACAAGAGCAATTTCACATAATCCATTGATCTAGAAAGCGTAAGTCCAGGGACCAGGGTAAAAGCAAACCGAAGATCAATCAGAAATGCTTAATTAATACGAAGGTACAATTCAGAACATGTGTTCCAAGTTATAATATGTCCAGGCCTCCAGGGTTATAAACTAGGAGTTCCTCATTAGACGATTTCATCTAAGACTAGCTCGCAACCAAATGCACCCTCTTGCATTCTGTTAAAAGTGAAGTCTGGAAAGTTGCCTATAATTGTGCAAAAAGACCAACATAACTAATGAATCCAATCAGTAGTATTTCTTTTGGCTTATTTCTTGTTTTATGCAAGCTTATTACCTACTCATCACAATCCTACTAATTCATTACTTATTTGCTAATGCTTTCCCTAATAGAAATGCACTGCATTATAATCTCTCTTTTTGCCTACCCTTATATGTGTTGACAAAGCTCAGAAACCAGTGGAGGAACCAAGCTACCCAACTCACTAGCTTGATCAGGCGAGGCGATACCATCATTATCAGTACTACCCCTAAGCAACATACGGGAAGAATGAAATCCAAAAAACTAGAAAAAGTGATTAAAGAAAGTTTTTGATTTGTTTGTCTTATAGCAGCTTTAAGTATGATTACCTCAGTTATATCATTTTCTCTTCCAATCTTCTCAAAGGTACCAAATCATATTTTTTGCCTAACTGCTTTATTAATGTGAGATATTGCAGGAATATTAATATATTATGTAATCTATGTCAACCCATTCCATAAACAAAACAATCATAATTCAGTAAAAGTGTTGAAATTAATAGATGTAAAAGGCTAGCAACTGTCTATTTCATCTTATGACTTATAGGCTAATCCTGCCTTCCCAACCAAGAGTCTGGCAGAGCAAAGGCAGGAATGTATATGTCGTCAAAGCAAAATTCAAGTTACTAAAGATACCTTTTCACATACTTGTCTTTTTTCACTACCAAGAGTTTCCTGTTCCGTATCAAAGTCTTCTGAGGAGCCATCATCTGTCTGCCTCACACTCGAACAAAGTATGTCGCGTGTTTTTTGCTGTAGTATCTTATTCGCCAACGATCTCGATCCTTGGGCTGACATTCTTTCAGCATTATGCTTCAATTTTCTGAGCCTTTGTAACTCATAGTCTGGAAGATGACTTTGGGAATTAAATGCTTTTGCTTTACTCCCCTTCATCTGCAAAGCCATTCAATGAGAACATGTTTACAAACCATAAAAGATAATAATATGAAAAATAATGCAATATAATATAATATGGAAAGCAGTGCAATATAATGTAATATAAATTGTTAGGGAAAAAACCATCAGAAAGCTCTCTAGGAGGGATTTGAACAGCATAATGCCAACCATCTCTATTAAGATCTTCAACATAAAACACTTGATGTGCTTGAGATGCCAAGATAAATGGTTCTTCTTTAGAAATTGTCTTAGACATATTAATCGTTACAAGCTCATCATCGTCTTTTTCAGAGTGAAACCACACACACTTAAATAAGACGACACAGAAATAGCCATGGTAAGATACTGAAATGATGTCTGTTATTGAACCATAATAATTGACATTAGCCTCAATAGGATTTTGATCTTTGGAACTCGCAAAGCTATGTGTCATGGCCGTTAGAGTGACTCCACTATTTTGAGTTACACAATTAGCATCGCGCTTCATGGTATGGAACCTATAACCATTGACTGAGTACCCTGTATACTTTTTTAGCAATGTAAGAAGGCCCTTTTGATAACCATATGATATTGTTAGGGATGATGTGTTGACCCTCTTCAACAATGAAATCAACTTTCTCCCTAAACCAATCCACAAAATCCTTGCTGTGATCTTGAACGCTATTCCATTTTCTTTTTCCTCTAGCGCTTACAAATTCCTTGTGCTCACTATTAAATATAAAAAGATTACTTTATTAACACTACAATTAAAACATATTGAAAACCAAGAGAAAAGAAAAAAAAAACTACGTTTTGGTTGGTAATCTAACCTTATATATTTCTCAACTTCCTCACAGTCACAATTGAACAAGACATAACGATGCGCTTGCACCCATTGATTGTGATCAAGTATGTGTTCACGGTCTTTTTTCTTTGATGTCCTTCCTTTCCCTTTTACTGGACGTCCTACCTTAGGAAGAAATGATTGTGATGTACTACAATCATTAACTTGAGGTGTGGCCGAGTTTGATCCATTCAAAAATCTAGCTACAAAGGCAACACATTCTTTGGCTAGATATCCTTCTGCCATTGAGCCTTCTGGACGAGCTTTATTTCGAACATCTTGCTTTAGTCCATGAAGATACCTCTCAATCCCATACATGCACCTTGAACTTACAGGTCCACCCAATTTAATTTGGCCCACCAAGTGTAGAGGTAGATGTACCATTATATCAAAAAAGGCAGGTGGAAAAATCCTCTCAAGTAGGCATAATGTTTCAACTAACTCAGATTGCAATGTTTCAAGATGTTGAGGATCAACCTTTTTACTCCATATACTTTTAAAAAAAGCACAAAGTTTAATCAAAGGAGTAGCAACATCTTTGGATAATGTTGTCTTTACTGCAATTGGGAGCAAATAATTCATCATAAAATGTGCATCGTGGCTTTTGTAGCCTGCAATTTTCCTTTCACCAACTTGTACACATCGACCAATGTTAGAAGCATAGCCTTGAGGAATTTTGGCATTTTTGAAGACGTGGCAGAACTTACGTTTTTGCTCTAATGACATCCAAAAGCGGGATCTTGGAAATTCTTCGCCACCATCTTCCAATTCTCTTGGTTGAAGCTCCGGCATCAAATTAAGCTCTACCAAATCTCGACGAGCACTCTTATGATCCTTGGTCTTTTGAGAAATGTCTAACAATGTCCCAATGACACTATCAAACACATTTTTCTCAATATGCATTACATCGAGGTTGTGACGATTAAGACAATGCTTCCAATATGGTAACTCGAAAAAAATGACCCTCTTTTTCCACGGGTTCGGATCATCGACATCACGCCTTGGTTTCTTTTGCTTCTTTCCAAATTCATTTGGAAAATCACGCAACAGATTAGCTACATCAATTCCATTCAATGGAGTAGGTTGCTGTCTTTCCTCAACTTTCCCATCAAAATTCCTCTTATCACGACGCCAAGGGTGAAATGGAGGTAGAAATTTACGATTTGCCCTATACACATTCTTAGCACTATAAGGCAACCACTCAGAATCTAATTCATAATGACACTCAGGGCACGCCAAGTATCCTTTTGTGCTCCAGCCAGATAACATCGCGTAAGCAGGAAAAGCACTCACGTTAGTCATCAATGCTGCATGCATGTGAAACCTCTGGTTACTCGAAGAATCATAAGTTTCCAGTCCGAACTCCCACAAATCCTTCAAGTCCTTCATTAGTGGTTGCAAATATATGTCAAGGTCATTGCTTGGGGAAGAAGGACCCGAAATTAGTAGTGCTAACATCAAATTCTCAGGCTTCATAATCATCCAAGGAGGCAAGTTGTAATTGATCAACATAACTGGCCAAGTACTATGTACAATACTCATTGAGTTGAACGGGCTGAAGCCATCTGTGGCTAGTCCTAGCCTCACATTGTGCGGGTCATCAGAAAACTCTTTGTACAAGGAATCAAATTCCCTCCAAGCTTGACTGTCAGCTGGATGATGTAAAAGATGATCAGTTTCACGCCCATCCGCATGCCAAGTCATGTATCTCGCCGTCTCTTGACACATAAATAGTCGTTGAAGCCTTTTCTTTATCAGAAAGTACCTAAGAATCTTTTGAGGAATTCTATAGGTCTTTCCCTTACCATTTTCTATGTCATCCTCTTTGTCCTTTGATTTCCATCTTAGTGTTTTACAAACAAGGCAGCTTGTTGCATTTTCATGCTCTTCCCAATATATCATGCAATCGTTTGGACATGCATCAATCTTCGTATAATCCAACCCCAACACTTTCAAAACACTTTTCGCTTCATTGAAAGAAGTTGGCAACTTTGCATCAGGAAACACCTCCCTTATAAGCTCCAATATATCTCCAAATGCGGCATTGGTTAGATTATGATCACACTTCAAAATAAAAAGTCGAATCATGAAGGAAAGTTTTGAGTGATTTTTGGAACCAGGATACACTTCTTCTTGCCCTTCTTCAACTAACCTCAAAAACTTTTTTGCCTCAACATTTGGCCCCTCTCTAAAAGCATCACGTGCATCATGCAACAACCTCACTACGTCATCGCTAGATTCATTTGGGATGGACCCTTCATCATTACCCCAAATAATTTCTTCTCTTTGGATATTGAACCCTAAATCTGATAACTTATCCGATCTTGGAACAAAACCATTACAAATTAAATGGTCTCTCACCACACCTTCACACCGCCTAAAACGATAATGACAAGTTTGACATGGACAAAAAATTTGATTTCCTTGAGACTTGATAGCAAAAGCCCTTTTGACATATTCGTCGACTCCTTGTTCATATTCATCACTCCATTTGGATAACATCCACCAATTATTAGTTCCACCTTCCATTCCTTAGGGTAAAAATAGAAATTAACAGTGTAAATAGGTGCCAAAGGATAAAGTCACATAACCTATACAACTCTCATTATTTTTCATGGAGGTGTAGCACAAAGGTGATCAATGAACTACTCTATCCCAAGCACTAAATACACCCCTTTTAGGACAGGAAGTGTTATTGTCAAACAACTAACATATAATGCAGGAAAATTACCAAAACACAAGATGAACACCAAGCTAGCCTATACTAAATGCAATTACATTGTCAATATTTCTTCGTTTCAAAAAAATTTAAGCAAAATGATGAAATCTTAGTTCAATATCTATATTCGTATTCACCTTAAATACCACATGTAAATATGTAATCACAGAATAAACTATTTGAACAAAAGAAGTTGGAGCTCAAACAGAAAGATGAATTGAGGGCCAAAAAAGGAAGTGATGAGCCGTAGAAAAAGGAGAGAAAAGAAGGAAGAGCTAGGTGCTTCAACGGAGTTAAACACCAGACAAATTAGTAAAGGTAAAATGGTTGTGCTTACATTTTGTGTTACTGTAGGTTGTCAGTTTTAAATAGCTGATGTATTTTCACGTAGTCTTTGTAAGGCCATGCATGATGTTCTTCCAATGTGATTTATACACTGTTTCTGCTGTTAATATTCATATAAGTTTTTACCTTTTCCTCAGCCTACGCGAGGATGATTAGTGAAGGTATATATATTAGTATCTTTTATTATCGACATCTTCTCTTTTTCTCAAACTAGGAAGAAAAGAACTAAAATTTGGGATTGCTGAAGAACGGCTGGGACATTTATGTCATTTGTATTTGTGTTTTTTCCATCTATCATAGTTTCTGAAAGGGTAGTCACTTGTATGATATGATGCATGTATAGGCTTGAGTACATCAAAATTGTTATGGAACAAAAGTGTTGCCTCTTTTTCATGCAACCCTTCCATTATTCCTTGGAAAGATCTTAGAATACAAATGTGTAAAAAAAGGAATCTCTGAGGAATAATTAACTAACAAGATATAGAGAATATAGTTATGTTCTTAAGACATTTGACTATTTGTTTACTTAGTGGAAAATTTTATATTGTGTGTTTCTCCAATCTTACAGATATTTGGAAAGAAATCAACAGATATTGTGATACATCAACAGTAGCAACATGTCAATAGTAGCTACGCTAGAATCAGGTCAGCAGCATAAAACAAACACACTAAGTGATTAAACAATACTCCGTATTATTAAAAGACGATAAACTATAATTTGCTTGAAATTATTGGTTCAAATTCTGTATTTCATAATTTGTTTGATTCCATAATAGAACTATATGGAAGCCCTAAAACAAAGACAAGTTTCTTAGATCTTCTTGCAAATTCATAAATGTTTTCTATCTATCCTACAAATTTGGTTTGGAAAAGGAATGTCAAGAAATAAATCAATTACAAAATCCATTGTTGAAAAATTAATTTGAGAATCGATAATGTTGATGCAAAAACCAATACATATACCTACTTTGTTCAGTAAGAAGTCCAATGTTGAAGACATCCCTACCAAATAAGCCAAATCCTATGGATTTCAGCTTTTAACTTTTCTCATGTCGTTAAAGTAATTATTTACAAGATAAACAAGCCACAAAGTTAACACTCGCAGCAACTACCTTGCCATTAGGTGCAAAGCCAATCAAAGACTAATGACTCATAGCCACAGTGTAAAATATTACACAACATCAGCGTACATGAATAAGGTCAATAATCCACGAGCCAAGCAATTCCTAACAAAAACATTCAGATAATCTTTGTAACAAGAAGCAAGTAGTTTGAACCATGAACATCAAAACATGTAACTCACATATAGTCAAGAGTTATTCACTAATGCTCACAATGGATCGACAAAGTTTAGATGTTGCCTTCCATCTAGTTGTTGTCTCTATCATTAAATGGTAGAGCATATGTAACCAAAAAGAACCATTTTGACAAAAACGGAATTTCCTGTTTATCAGCAAGAAACATCTTTAAGGGTTTTATACCCAACATACACTTAAAAGTTGACTGGACCTAAACTTCAAAACTATTAGACAAGTGGTAAATCTGAACATGTCTCATGCATGCACATACTAATACAAGAAAGATCTTCAAAACTATCAAAGAAAAGAATTTTATTGTAATTTAATCATAGCACATACTAATACAGGAAATAATAGGAACATCTATGACCAAAAAAAAAATAAAAAAAAATGGTGTTGTGGAATGAATATCTCTTCAATCAGCATGAAATATCTGTATCACTACTCTCATGTTAACATATCTAAGTTATGCAACGCCTTTAACTCAATCATCTAAGAGAAGAACAAACCAGCTTGCAGCAACTAAGAGTAGTCAACATAAAAACCAAAAACACCGCTATAGTTAGTAATGAGTCTAATGTACTCTCAACACATCATTGTAGACAGTATTGAGACTAGTGTACCTAGCATACTGCACAAACAAGAACTAACAAGAATGAAGAGATTCAAGATTTGCTTGAAGCAAGAGGTCAAAGATAAGAAAGATCAATTAAATAGGCAATTTTGACTGTGATTTCACACAAGAATATTTTAACTATAGAGGATCTTCGACATGAATAATGGATGGAGAGCTTCCTCTTGAATCGGCAGGAACCTCTGAAATGTCACTGCGTCATTTGGCCATTTAAAGATTCCAATTTGATGACAATGGATTTTAATATTATATTATTAATTTATATAGACTAACCACTTCATCTAGAAACAAGAGACAAGTTTTCAAGGACAAAACGGAAGTGGAAGGAAAATAGCCTCAAAAAATCTTCAAAAGCTTATGCAATTACGAGAAACACAAAAGAAGTTGAAACAGTGAAGAAAAAACTATCAAATCAGATCAAATAACTCCATAGATCAAAATATATTGTGAGAAACTTTTGGTATATAGCAATGTCCGTCAACAACTTTCATAAAGAAGCAGCTTTTTGAAGAATTCTGCAGCAAAACCAATTAATAATAACTTTGATCATCAATAATTCAAATTTCTTAATTATTCAGCAGCTAAATTGACTATCGCCTGGTCACAAAACATCAAAGATTGCGCATCAACCAATCCAAACAATTGCACCCAGTAAAGCTAATTCACTCACAATGTAACTCACACATAGTTAAGACCTATTCACTAATGCTCACAATGGATTGACAAGAGAAGCAGCCCCCACAGAACAGAAAACTACATCGTGGAAAACATTACTCACTCAGATCGTTTCTCACCCAACTCGTTCCCTCTTTGTAAATACAAATTTGAACTAAGTAATTTCATATTCCTATTACCGTAATTTATGGCCTCAAATACGAATTTGCAAGCACAACAGCATAAACTTCAAATTAATCACCACGACATGCAACATCAAAAATTTTAATTAAGCAATCTCAAAAACAAAACTATGCCGTATACCTTAAACAGCAATTCGAGCAATCAACCACAAGGCAGGAACATGCAAGATGAAAATGGGAGTTGTCGGAACTTGCAGCCACCGCCTGAAACTCGCAGCCACCGCCTGAAACTCACAGCCACCGCCTGAAATTCGCAGTCACCTCCTGAAACTCGCAATTACCGCCTGAAATTCAAGCAACCAGCCACCGCTTGAGTGCTGCCTTCGTCTACTTGCTCAGATTTCTTTGTTTAATTTTCCTCTCAGAAATTTTTCAGTAATTTAGGGCTTCAAAAATGGAGTAATGGGGGAAAATGGGTTTAGTTCACAGAAACAGCTTTCTTACTTTTCCAATTTTCTTTTCTTTTTTGTTTTTATTTTTGTCTTAGAATAGGAAGGCTTTTAAATTTTTGGGGTAAAAGTAGAGGGAAGTCATGAAAATTTCGGCGCCATCTAAGTTTTTTCTTTTTTATTTTTTATTTTGGGTTGATCCGTTGGATTAGCTCCACTATCCGTTGGATTAGCTCAATCTGAAAAATTAAAAAAAAGGAACACTATCCGTTGTATTAGAAGAATAATCCGTTGGATTAGCTTATCTAATACAACAGATTAGTATATCTAATACAACGGTTTGTATAAACCATTGTATTAGACCTGTTTTAGTATAATCCGTTGTATTAGCCTAGTCTAATACAACGGTATGAAATTAGTCGTTGTATTAGCTAATTTTGAACCGTTGTATTAGATTAAAAATGTAGTAGTGACACGCCTTTCCTTCTTTCCAAGATGCAGGATCAGGTGGAACAAAGGGTGGAGCAGAGGGTGCAAGCTATGCGGAGTGAAATGGAAGTCGAGATGGAGGCTCGATTGGCCGAAATAGAAAGGAGAAACCAAGAGAGGTTTGAAGAGGTGATGCGTCGATTCTCCAGCAACGACCCATGTTCCAACATTCCACATTAGCGTCGAGACCCCACGAACGACTCGGGTAGCGGCGGTGCAGGGTAAGGTACTCCGGCTGTAGCTTAGAATTTGTTTATATAGTATGTACATGTAATTAGATTTAGATTATGTTGTATAGTTGCACACAATGTATACATTATTATAAACAAATATATAAAAAAAATTTCGTAATTAAATCTTAAATTCAAATTTGTCTTATATTAGGTGCAGGATATATAGGTGACAAAATGCAAATTAAATCGTTTAATTTGCTAAATAAACAGGACTAAGTCCAACGGAAATATGTTACTTTCCGACGGAATTTTTCATCGGAATCATCCCTCTTCCGACGGAAAATTCCGTCGGAAGTCGATGTGTAATTGATCATGTAATTCCGTCGGAGGGAGTAAATATTTTGAACCCTTAAAAATTGTTAACAAAGAAAGATCGATTATAATTGATCATGTAAAAATACACAATCTTTTGAACAATAAGCTAATAAGATGGTACATAATACTTGAATATTTGAAGTGATGCTTAATACAATCTAATTAACAAAAGTACTACATTATTGGTGAGTCGTCACTGGTCGGTAAAAACAATAAACATGAGTGGTGTAGAAATGTAGATTGTGAATAATGTGACGACATACATTAAATATTAGTGTTGAGACCATTATACATGGTTAATATGATATTTTTCTGTAAATCCATTTCCAATATCTTCATTGTTATTATTAGACTATAAAACATATTATTAAGCCTTAACAATCAGCTTAAGATTTTGGTCAACATGATTTTTATAATATAGATTTCCTAACAATGCTAGGATGAAAGCTTTAATAATTACATGCTGCATAGTAGCTAGATAAGAGCGTTGTCATTATAACTTAAGATAGGTCGATTATAATGGATGCTTGCATATTTATTACAAATACATTTTAAATGTTAAGCAATATACTATAAATTCTCACAAACAAGCTAATTAGATGATGGTACATATATACTTGAAATGATTCTTAGTAAGTGAGACAGAAACCTATTCGTTCCAATTTTATCAGATGTCTCTAAAGAGACAGGCATACTATTTATTAATCATCAATAGTAATTAAAATAATATGTAAGTTTTATTCGAAGGAAAAAAAATAAATTAAAAGCATATATATATGTCGATGAATATACTACGTTTAGAACTTGTAATGCGCAAACTCTTATTTTATCAATGAGAAATCATTAGACATTCATAGAATATTAACAATATATCTTAAGTAAGATAATATTTAAAATAATTGATATGTGATAGTAGTGTTATAGTAGTATAAACTATACACGGAGTAATGGAGTATATAAGTAAAGAAGGCATGAAAAAAATTTACTACTAGGTATGATATATGCTTTATAGTGAGTACAAAAGTTTTTGGATTAAAAAAAATTAATTTAAGTGTTTTGGATTAAAAAAAAAAGTATCACAAAGCAAATACTTCATATTAATGTGTCTGGTAAAGTGAAATAACAAAAGAGAACAGTTGTTTAATAGGCGGTCTCTTTACATATACTCTACATAATTACCCGCCAGAGTGTTAGACCCGTTGTCAGCAGTTTGGATTAGAAGACTTAAGAGACCACCTATTACAAAAAACAGGTCTCTTTGATCAACAAACTTTTTTTTTTTTGAATGGGGGTACAACTGTACCTCTGTGTGCCCCCTAGATCCGCCACTGCTAGGTGCAAGATGTACATGTTTTGGACATCATAAAAAAGAACCATGAAAAAATAAATTTTGTGAATTGAAAGAGAAAAGCTTTATATGTTTAGATAATTTTCATTATATATTCATGTTAACAGAAAGACTAAACCTAACATAACATGGTGTTAGAATTTGTATAAAACGACATTGACAACGTAAATTTCCTACAAAATAGACGAATATAACATTCTAGTTTGGACGTGAGCTTAAGTAATTTTGTAGTAAATTAGAGCATTCTCATTATAAATGAAGATAGGCCAATTATAATTGATGTTTGCTCATATATTTCACATACAATGTAAAATAACAAACTTTCACATACAAGCTAACAATGAAGATGGTACATGATCGAATAAAATGATGCTTAGTGCGTGAAATCTAATCAATTAAAGTACTACTAGTACATTATTATTTAACAACCGGGAAACAAACATGGCTGGATTAGAACGCGACGAGCCAATGACTGTAAAGACGACGCACTTTGTGTTGAGACTATCATACGTCGTTGATCAAATTTGATTCATTTGTAGTGTTTTTTGACCTTCTCGGATAACACATCTTGCAAAATCTTATTATTGATTGCCTCCTTCGCCAACTAATAATCTTCCATATGAATCGCACAATATGTGCAACAACTATAGTTCCCATTAACACTAGCCAAGCTATGAGAGAAATCCCTAATGCAAACAAAATTCCGCCTCCTTTATAAGTAGCCTGGTTACTGAGTTCATGTATGTTGTTGCCGTGACAGAAATCCATAGTGTTATCCTCAAAACCGATAATAAATGTCGCTTACACGGAAAATCGCTTATAAATCTAAACCAAACCAAACTAACATATTATAATATTAAACTAAACTAACATACATTACATAAACCTAAACTAAATTAAACTACATTATATTAAAATACACTAAACTAAACTAACATGCATTGTATTAGGGTTTGTAATGTGACAATAAACCCACTAATTGTACAAATCCTACAAAAAAATTAAAAGTAAAAAAAATATAAAAGGGTTTATTATTATACCAAAATAAAATCGAATTGAAACAAAAGGGGAAAAGGAACTCACTATGGGTAGATATAAACTTGGCGGTGGCTGCACGACAAGCTTGGTGGAGGTGGCGTCGGTGGTGGCTGCAAAATAAGGGTGGTGGAGGAAATTAATTCATTAAAAATTTAAAAAAAAAGGGGGAAAGTAGGAGGACTTACCAGAAGTTTCAATAGGGGGAAAAGGTGGTGTTTCTGATCGTAGCGACGGAGGGGAGGAGGTTGGAGGTAGCTTGATGGATCGGAGGTGGCGTCGGTGGTGCCTGTGAAGAGGTAGTTAGGGTTTAGCTCATGTTAATTGTTAAAAATTAAAAAAAAAAACAACACTAACCTCACAGCGGCGTCCAGGGCGGCAGAAGCTGGCTCAGGTGGCAGCAATGAATGAGGAACGGGGGTGGCTGCGAAAAAAGTAAAAAAAATCACAAAATTAACTACACTTACCGATCGGCGGCCAAGGAATCAAGGCGGTGTAAGCTGGTGGTTGCGGCGGATCTGGTGGTCATCGGTCCGCTTCCACTTCCTCTTTCTCTTTCTCTTTATCTTTCTCCCGTTTGCTTTTTCTCACTCTTCCCCCTTTTTTGTTTTTGTTTCGTGAATTGCAATGAAACAAGCTTGGTTATGTTTTAATTAGTTCCGACGAAATTAAATTTTGTCGGAAATACATACTTCCGACGGAATAATTCTGAGGGATTTTACGTCGGAAAATACCTTTTTCGACTGATATTCTGACGGATCCAAATTCATTGGAAAATTTGAACTTTTCAACGGAATTTGAGGTCCGTCGGAACGATTCTGTCGGAAAACGACCTAAATCTAGTAGTGAGGGCATGTATGAGGTTCGACCGAACCTATCCCCTGTTCGACCGAACTAAGGGTAGATTGGTCGAACTTACCTAATGTTCGGTCGGACAAGGTTGTCAGTAGCAGCAGTTCAATTTCTTCAAACAGTTCGACCAAACTTTTCTAGAGTTCTGTCGAACTTCCGCACTGCACAGACAACTCTTCATAAAACGGCCATAACTCCCTGGATTTTTGACCAAATCGAGATGAGCTATAACCTCAAACTTTAATCATCTCAATATCAATTCTAGACCTTAAGATATGCTCATTTGAAGTCAGCCCTTACCTTTCATTTTTGCTTTGCACGCACCAGGTAAACAATCCATAGCATAATTCCAAAGCTATGCATCCCCTTAGCCTTATTGAACCGTTCTCCACACTTCTAAAACCCAACACCGTACTATTTGCTTGATCAATTTATATAATAGACGAACGACATGCCAGAGGATGAGTAGTCCTAGCAAGAATATCCAAGCAACACTCGCAGTAATTATTGTATTTTGAACAAGATGATGATTTTTGGGCGACATCAGATCTTCAGTAAGGGAATTTAGGCTCTCCTTTTGGAGGTTTCAAGGAAGTAAAGTGAGACTATGTAAGTCATGGTTAGTTGTTGCTGTTACTGCGATCCACATAGTTAACATCAAAAGTTCCATGACGAGTCTCATACAAGAGAATCCACTTATAAGAACTATGACACTTAAAGATGAAACTAGTCCTATTGTGTTGGAGACGAGGAACGCATCATATATTCCTTATTGATTTCACCACCAAACCGTTAATTTTTTTTTATTGATTTTCGTGGTTAAAACATGCTTTTTAGAGGTTTTGGG